TCTCAACAAAGGCCCTTGAGTAAATGAAGAAATAAAGCAAAAGAGAAATCAAGAAGCCCATTGGAAAATCCAATTGCCAATTTATCCAAAAGCCCAAAGCTAAAACGAAGAAGAAATGGCAAAGCCCAAAAGCCCAAGTCCAAGAACAAGATAAAAGCTCGGACAGCAACAGGAGAGAACTAGGTATCGATGCTAGCATCAATACCCGTATCGATGCCAGGATCAATACCCCTATCGATGTTGGTATCGATATGACGTACAGTTTGTTACGAATTAAGAGCTGAAATTTATTGTTTTTGGATAAGATTTCAATCCAATGACTCTCATTCACTGATGTTTACTATAAATAGGGGTAGAGAGTGAGGGGTTAAGTGTGTGAAAAATTTTATAACTCCATTTGGAGAGGAGGGTTACTCTTAATTTTTTATGTGATATATATATGTGTGTGTGTGTGTGTGTGTGTGTGTATCACATAAAAAGCCTCTCTATATAAAATCATTCGTTAATTTTAGAAAACACCCCTCAACTATTTTAATCTCAAAAAACTAGCCACGAATTTGAGCATATTGTACCCACCCCCACCCCTACCCCCAACCCCCCCAAAAAAGTTTGAGACAATCCCTTGGAATTTCATCACTTAATCCCCCTTAAATATGGTGTGTGTTTCAAAAAATACCCATCAACTATTTTAATCTAAGAAAATTGCTCAAAATTTGAGTCTATTATAGATATCCCCTCAATTTAAAAATCTGAGAAATCTCCATGAACTCGTCTCTCTCTACACCTTGAAATCTAACACTATTATGTCTAGTATGTCACATGACAAGTAGATAATTGAGAAAAGACCAAAATACCCTCTATCATAAAAATTTACTCTGCTTTTTTAAGCTAAAAGAAAGAGAGAAAAAGGGGGAAGGTATTATAAATTGAAAATGTTTCTTTTTTTACTGATTGGGCATTTTTTGTAATTAAACATGTTTATTGTAAAACGATATTTTAGTTATTTTATATTTTTAAATGATGTCGAAGGGTTTGGCGAGAAAAGTGTAAAAAATTAGGGGGATTTTGTGGGACACCATATAATTGAAGGATTTTCTCTAATTTTTAAAGTTTGTTTTTTTGGTCAATGAAAAATTTTATTCATTACCAATATATGAAAGTTATAATACATCAATGTCTATCTCAAGACTGATTACAAAATTCAGCCTTCAAACTAAAAACTCTCTACATAACTCTTTATGTGTTGTGGTATGTTATCATTCAATATCCTTGTATATACATGTATTTTTATCAAGCTAAAGAGATGATCAGGGCCTCTTGATTGCAACTGAAATATACGAAAATTCCTCTCTTGCCAAATCATGTAGACTGAAGTAGATAATGCCAACCTTTTAAGCTTTATTTTGAAACTTTTCCCTCTCAAATTGTTCTCAAACCAGCTGGTGATTTGATCCCAATTACACGATTTCCTTTTGAAGCATAGCCAGTCCATTACTTGATTCCAGACACTAGCTGAAAATTGGCATTCAAAGAAAAGGTGCTGACAGGTTTCAAACTGTCCTTCTCTTGAACATAGGGTGCACTGATTTGAGCTCAGCATCCTCATTTTGCAAAGTCTTTCTTGTGTTAACAGCCTCGATAAGAATGCCAACCAGAGAATAAAGGAATGTTTAGGTAGATTCCATCCACCCCAAACTGTCCCTGACCATGTATTCAGATTTGAGTGTTGAAAAATTCTCCTGCACATCACTGAAACTTTGATTTTATCATTAGCACAGCTATCACTGATGACATTCTGGAGATTATTCACACTACCAAGTTTATCAATCAACAAATTCCTCACTCTTAAAAGCTGCCTCCACTGCCATGAATCACTCTTCCTTGGTTGGACTTGCCAGATAGTATGTTGTCTTAGATAGTGACCATGAATCCACTTAATCCAAAGGATATCCTTCTTGAGGTGAATCATCCAAAGAAGTTTGGCCGCCATAGAATAATTCCAATGCACAGCAGAGTATATCCCAAGACCCCCATGATCAGTTTCCTGGCATACAGAATCCCAGCTCACCAAATGAATTTTATGTCCCCATAAGAAATTTGAGCACATTTTATCAATTTTTCGAAGAACTTTGATAGGGAGAATGTAGTTACTGGTCCAGTAGGTTTGTATCCCCATAATCACTGATTTTATCAGTTGTAACCTGCCGGCATATGAGAGGAATCTTCTCTTGAGCCAATTATTAAATTGGTCTGAAATCTTGTTAATAAGGGGAGAGCAATCCATCCAAGAATCTTCTCTTGAGCCAATTATTAAATTGGTCTGAAATCTTGTTAATAAGGGGAGAGCAATCCATCCAAGAGAGTCTTTTAGCTATCAGAGGTAGCTTGGTCTGAAATCTTGTTAATAAGGGGAGAGCAATCCATCCAAGAGAGTCTTTTAGCTATCAGAGGTAGCCCCAAATATCTCAAAGGCAAAGTTCCCTCAGAGAAATTAAGGAGATTGCAGATTTGGCTCTTCAGATTATCATCTACTCCACTCAAGAATATGGAACATTTTGATGGGTTAGCTTCTAAACCAGAAGCCCTACTGAAATCAGCTAGGCAATCCCTTAGTCTTGATATTGTATTCATATCAGCTCTGCCAAAAAGAAGCAGATCATCCGCAAAAGCTAAGTGTGTTATTTTCAGTCTTGAGCACTTAGGATGAAACTTGTAGAGCCTATCCTCCTTGAGAGTGTTTAATTTCCTAAACAAATATTCCATACCAATAATAAACAAATAAGGTGATAAAGGATCCCCCTGCCTCAAGCCCTTAGCACCTTGAAAATATCCATGAGGAGTACCATTAATAGATATAGAAAATTTTGGGGTAGAGATGCACTCCATAATCCAGGAAATCATGTTGTCTGGAAATCTTAAACCTTTAAGCATGTCATTGATGAACACCCAACTAATTGTATCAAAAGCCTTTCTCAAATCAATATTTAAAATGGCTCTAGGGGAATTGTTTTTCCTGCCATAGTGCTTAACAATCTCATGAGCTAAAAGGATATTGCTTGATATAAGCCTACCCTTCACAAAAGCACTCTGTGCATCACTTATCAGGTATCCCACTACTTTTTGAATTCTGGATGCAATGATTTTGGTTATGATTTTATACACACAGTTGCAGCAAGATATATGTCTAAAATCTGCAGCATATTGAGGATTAAGAACCTTAGGTATCAAAGTAATGGAAGTGGAGTTGAAAGTACCAAGCAGTTTTCCTGATTTGAAAAATTCTTCCACTGCGGAGAAAAGTTCTTCACTGATAACACTCCAGGATGCTTTGAAGAATAGGGCATTGAAACCATCTGGGCCTGGACTTTTATCATTTGACATAGAAAAGACAGCTTGTTTAATCTCATCCCTTGTAACTGGAGAACTCAGCTCATGTCTTTGATCAGAAGAGAGAAGAGGGCCATTTGCAATAATCATTGGATCAGGATGATTTGTTTGAATTGAAGTCCCCAATAATTTTTTGTAGTAATCCACAATTTCAGTAACAATATCAGCACTGTCAGTGATCCTAATTCCATTCTCTGTATATAGAGATAGAATTCTGTTCTGATGCCTTTTCTTTTTCATGATAGAATGGAAGAATTTAGTACCTTTATCCCCATCAAGACACCAATTAATGTTTGCTTTCTGCTTGTAAAAAGATGATTCACAGTCCAGAAGCCTTTCATATTTTTTGGTAATTGGATAAAACTGTTGATATATCTTCCAGGTTCGTACCAATGGATCGGTGTCGCCACTGGGGTTGGTTTGTTGAGTCACAGTGGATCGGTGTCGCCACTGGGGCTGGTTGGTTGGGTCAAAGTAGATCGGTGTCGTTACTTTGGTTCATGAATTTATTTGATTGAATACACGTGGGGGATATGCGAACAGTCAGTTATCCGATAATATGAGCGTTGACTCTGTGTGAGATGTGATCCAGTGACTTATTTTAGGATGACTAGTTACATGACTTGTTACCAGTGAATCGGTGTCACCACTGTGGTTGATTTGTTGAGTCAAGGTGAATCGGTGTCGTCACTTTGGTTAGGATTTATGGATTCTTGTGAGATGTAGGTCAGTTGTGTTTCTTTTCATACATAGATCGAGATTAATATTTAATTATCTACAATTTAAGACATATGATATATACATGAGGGTTTCCTTGTTTGGATTATTTCGTTCGACGTACTACGTCTCGAGTTGTAGATTTTTAAGTATCAATTTCATCTAGTGTATGACCTTGTGACTTAGATGATTTCTGATCGCTAGCTACATGATCGACTCGTTACTTGATTGATTTTGTTGAATTTCTAGTTGCACGTCCTTTTATCATTTCTTTTATCGTATCGATTTCTGCTTTAGATTTTCGTTCATTCTATTTTCTTTGTGGGGTCTTGTCGTGTGCCATACACGCTGACGTACACATGTTTTCTTTGGTGTACGTCAGACTTAGAGAAAGAACAGGTTCAGTAGGAGCGAGTATTCTCAGCAGGAGTACCCTGTAGACGGAGCAGAAGGAGTCGAAGCATATTCTTTCCATTTATTAGTTGATGGTTTTGTTTACTCTTGTAGTACTTCCTATTTCAGTTTGAACGATGTATTATATTTCTCTAGTATTCATTTGTTTATTTTGTATAAGTGCATGTTGACCCGAATATTATGTCTCGGATGTTATCCCATTTGTGATATGTATTATTTTATTCTGTGTTGATCATTATATTCTTACTGATTGTGATCGGGGACATGTGACTTCGCATTGTACTTATTTCCAGACACTTAGTGTATTGGATTGAGAAGAAAAGAAAAGAAAAATAATAATAGTGTATATTTCTTCTCAATCTAATACGTCGCGGGCTTGTTCACGTTCCGATTCCCCGGTATTTTGGGAAGCGGGGCGTGACAATACCAAACCACAGCTAAGAAAACTTAAAAACAAAAGGAAACCATTTAAAGGTTATCCTCTACGACTTTATCATCTGTACTCTCCATGAGCCAAGTCCATGCTCCTTTGCCGTCCCGTTGATGATCACAGCCTCCTTTCTACCTGAGCATATTGTCCAGAATAGCACGAAGCGTGCAATATTAGAGGCAATGCATTTAGGGGTTGTCTTTTCTTTATTGAAGATCAAATTGTTTCTTGATCTCCACATGCACCAACAGTAGACGGGGAAAACAACTTTCCACAAGGAGCGAAGCTTATGATCTAGCACAGAATCGCTGTTAGAATATAAAAATATCTTCAAAATTTGCAGGCCACTGTACCGAGGGAAAACAAGACAAAATATAGGTTCAGACATCCTTAGCATAGGCACAGTTGAAGAAATGTGGCTATCAATTTCTAACTCAATTTGGCAGAAAGGGCAACCAGGATCACCATCCCAGCCTTTCCTAAGCGAATTTTCATGTCTGCTACTTCCCTTAGGAAGAAGCCGGAAGAAAATCTTTACCTTAGTAGGAGTTGAAGATTTCCAAAGGAAGTGAGAAAAACTTGATTGAATCTCACCCATGTTCAAAAGAGAGTATAATTATTTAACTGGAGAATCTCAGTTAGTAGGCCATAGGGCAGTGTCCTTAGACTGCTTGACAATACAATTGGAGGAAGCAAGAAAGTCTTTGAGCATTGAGATATCTCTTTTTTCTCTCTCGATGTAATCATGACAGAGAATAGGGTGGGTGTCATACCCAACATTTGTTGCTGAGAAAATATCCTTGAGGGTGAACAATGACATACTTATAGAATGCCAGATTACAAGCTAAGGGTAATAAGCTACACAAAGAGCTAGACTCCAACCACTTGTCCTCCCAGAAACTGATATTTGAACCCTCACCTAAGTTCCACTTGACAGATCACACTAAAGCTTTGTGAATAGAAGAAGTATCTTGCCAAAATCTAGAAGCTGAAACTATAGGTTGTGTGCTATTAATGACGGAAGAGTATTCGAGGGTGATAGAGGAAAGGACTCTTACCTTCAAGAGAATTGTTGTCGATAGATTTACTAGTCCCTTTGGAAAGAAGAGCCATATTAAAGTCAGAGAGATTCAAAAAATGCAGCCCCCTCCTCTTGAATTTACAGACAATTTCCCAACAAACAAGAGCCCCCCCCCCCCTGTGTTTGGATCAGAGATGCTACAATCTTTCGCTAAAACACAGAATAAGCAGTGGAAATATAGAAAATTAAAAGCGAACAACCAAACTAAAAACCAACTAAGGAACGCACAAGATTTTTATAGTGGTTCGAATAACAATCCTACGTCCACTATTCCATGTCACGAACGAGCATTTTCACTATGCTAAGAGTTCTCTTGAATTACAACCTGATTAAATAGGCTTACAAAGACCATATTCTAGATCTACTCAGATCAGTCATCTAACCTAACACTCCATAACGAGTAACACTTAGCCCTAGCTAGTCTCAACTCTCAATTATCACTGGCTTGAGTAAAACAAGTTAGAAATAAACTACCAAAAATAGTTTAAGTACAAAATTAGAAAGACAATCCTTTTAATTAGCAAACTGTTCTTCAAAAGATTAAAGTGAAGCTCATTGAAGAAAAAAGTAGATGTTGATTCCAAGGATAACTCTTCTCGCTAAGACGATCCGATATTGTTGAGCGTGACGAGAAAGAGTTTATTGAGCCTCTAGGGATTCAAATCACAAATTAATCTTTTTCTCACAAACCCTAAAATTTTCTCTCTTAAAGCTCTATCTTTAAACCCTCGTATTCTCTCCAAATATAATCTCTTCAATATTATATATCATCTCATAAATCAGGAAAGAAATATCCAAATCATAGTGAAAGTTAGAGATGAAAGGGATTAGCGAACGACTGTGATTAACTCTTCAAATCTGCCAAATACAATCGTCACCATCGATGGTTCCTCACGACCATCAATGGTTCCCCGAGCACCATCAATGGTTGTTTGTAGATCATTGATGGTTTGATTTCGAGTTTCTGAAAACCTATAATTGAAGTGTGGTGACCATCGATAGTTCAGTATAGACCACCTATGGTTCGAAATGGATTCTCTAAATTTCTCTAATTGTTCAATATATATCATCGATGATTCACTGTAGACCATCAATGGTTCCAATGCTGAATCTGTATATCTGTATATCTGTATATCTGTAGACCATCATCGGTGACTTTAAAGGACATATAGCAAAGAGGAAGCGAAGATAGAACAGAGCATGCTGAATCTGTATATCTGTATATACGAATTTATTTTTATATAGATCTTGACAAGCTAACTTAGCTCAAACCGAGGAAAGGGTTAAAAACATCCTTAATGTTTAATATGAATGGATGAAATATAATGACCTTGAGCATCTGTAAGTGCTGATGTTAAACGTGGAACATCACAAATCCTGCAGTTAAATTTCAGCTGATAATCGCGAGGTCTAGCCAAAGTGTTCTGCCTCCAAAGCGTAGGATATCATTAAAGCAACCTGGAAATGGAAATGTTCAGTAGAGGTTTCTAAGGAAATAAGTAAAAGAAGTTTCAGGTGCATACTGAGATTTTTATGTAGGGTGTATGAGGAAATGTTGATTATTGTCACGAAATAAGAAGTCCAAATCTTGTAAATTATGGCCAAAATAGGAATTTAAGAGTTCAGAATCTTCAGATCGCCAGGAAAGGGCTATGAAGGATTAAGAATGTAAGTTTAGCATCAGTACAGGGAGTTAAAATTTGAAGATTGGAGGGAGACTGGGAGCACTATAATATTTCCAAGTAATTTCTGCACGACTACACAATTTAGCCTAGTTACTTGCATACTAAAAACCCAAAAGGTAGGAACTGAAGAGCAAAAACAATACAATATCCTTGGAATCAATTGATGAAAGCAAGAAAGGAGTAAATAGCACCAAAGAACACAAACCTTACTTACTGTTAACATTGTTTAGTATTGGTAATATTTTAATGGGTAATTGTGAAATAAATGCAGTTTCTATGCTAATAGTGAAAATTCATATATGGGTATTTGAAGAACATGCTCCTGAGTTCTTTTGCTAATAAGAAGTTTTGTACAGATATTTTGTGGAGAATAGCACTCCTTGCCAGTGGATGCCTAGAACTCAGCCATCTACATAACCCATCCAGCTACTGCAATTTCGTATCTTCCACTGGTTGCAATTACAAAGCTCTAGAATTAATGATGTGTAGTCGAGAGACTGATCTCATCAAATTCACATGAACATAAATCAATATGAATGGAAGAGAGGATACACACATTTCTCATGTACACGATGTGAAATAAAATGAAATATAAATTTACAGAACTGATCCTAGAATTGATGTGGCAACTTCCCACTTGTAAAGTTGCAGACAACTAAAGCAGTTGTCACCTACCATAGTCCTCTGAATATGAGGGGAAGCAAACCGATTCTTATGGGAAATTAATATTTGAAAGAGGTCCAAAATATATTGGTTCAAGCTGATTTAATAATTGATTTGTAGTCGTAGCTCGTATGAATAAAAAATTTGAGGCTTATGTGAGCAAAAATATAATTATATAAACAGCTTAAGTTGTTGATTTGTGCACACAATTTCAATAAATTGTTCTAAGCTCTGAAAACTATAACAAAAAACATGCTGGCTAATGAAGTGGTACCTTCAGCCTGAACAAAGGTAGAACTGGAGATGTTTGTGAAGCCATTTCAGCAATGTCAGCCCTGGAAAAGATATCAAGAAGAATGAAAAATATGTGCTGCATCAACTGATTATCCGACAAACAGTGATAGAAAAAAAGAAACAGATTGCTCAGTGAATATTTCATAATGCAGCTGGTAAGGCAACAAAGCATCTGTTTTCACTTTTCAGGAGCTTCCAGTTCCCATTTCACTTTCTGATGAGAACTAGCAATATTGGGTGGCATATGAGTTGGAAGACACTGAAAATACAATGACGAAGTAGAATAATTTATATGTTTTGATTCTGTATCTGAATCATTATTGGCAGGTTTTTAATGTCTGTAGATATAAGTAATTAACTGCTGAACTTTTTTGTCACCTTACATTGTTAGAACTGCAGGTTTCATTAGCCATTATTGTGTGTCTTCAATATAATAGTATATAGACCTAAAACAGCAGATCCACCAACATGCTCTCCAAGCATTTTGAAATCGCACCATCTTCTCATGTCAAAGCCTCTGTACCTGCATCAGGAATCCAGTTATAGCAAAATAGAGAAACTATTTAGACATAATAATTAAGTAATCACCTTTTAAGGATACTATCATACTAAGAAGAATGAGAGGGCATGTTACAACCTAGCAAGGGCTGTGAATCTTATAGAGACATTCATGCACTAAACTATTATAGAGACATAATTTAGGAAACTATATGCAGATATATTTCTGGATAGTTTCTATTAAGGTTTTCGAGCACTAAACTATTAAATATTTGAAAGATGAAAAAAAATACCGCATGTATTAATAATCAACCAACCGAAGTATCCACATGTCATGAAGGAATATATCTACAAAAACCACACACAAATTAGGAATGGATTACCCAACCCCCACAAATAAATAAATAAATATAACAAAAAACATGGAAGAGTGGAAAACCAAAAGCGAAGAAGAAAATATTATTGTGCCAGTGCCACTTATTGATGTAATTAAACACTCAGTTAAAGAGTCAAAAAGAGAATGAAAGCTCATCACACGTATATACAGTAATTGAAAACTAAAAACTAACTCGTTGTCAACAAAAGCTGATGAAGCGTTTTTTCCCCCCTTGTAGTTTCCATTCTGCACAGCTTTTAGACAAATTATATATGTGATGTGATGCAATTTTTCTTAAAAATAACAGTTACAGGTAAGCAAAACAGTTCAGATCTTCAGGAACATCTCCAAATAAGAGTTCGGACGATGCATCCTCCTTAAGAACTTTTACCACCCGTCCAAGTGTGCACCGGATTATTCACTTGCATAAAGCAAGAGGAACAATGTATTGATAAAAGTTACGCATGGTAAAGCATACAGAGACTGTTGACTCCTTGCAGGTTCTATATCATAAATCCAATGTTTGGAGCACTTGAAACAAGCTCAGACTTCAGAGACCGAGGCAGCAAAAAAGGATATGACAGCCATTAATTCGACAAAGGAAGTTGCTTTTACAACCGCCCTAAATATATGAAATAAAGGTTCTACTCCTGTTACGTAATTTGCCGTGAAGCCTGTTCAAGGATACAGTCTATTCTTATGTGTAGCTAGTCAATTTATTTTTCAAACAATGGTTGTTTTTTTAAAGAGATAATGCTCTCGCAAACCATAATCAAACATGTTAAATAGTAGGGAAATAGTTTTATAGTTTGTTACTAGATTTAATTTTCATAAATATGAGATAAAGATAAGGCATTAATATTATTTAGTCCATTGGTTCTGAAAATAGACTTCTAGTTGTTCATAATGATGTCATACTTCCCTTTGATCTGACATCAGAATTGTAATCACTGCAGCAGCGTAGCATGAGTCTTGATGTGCTATTTCTGACCCTTTTTTGGTTTTTGATTTCCAGTTACTTGTTGGATGCTCAAAGATTGATTTTATGACTATACAAGATATAAAAGATTGCATAGCACAATGGTTGCAGGCTTGCAGCGTATGATAAATTATATGTAGCTTGAAAGTATATGCGAAAGAAATCCAATCAGCAAATTTTGAAGAGGAAAAACAAGAGATATTGGTCAAGTTGGATTTCTTAACGAGGAACGATAGGTTTTTTTCTGTAAGAAGATAGAAAAACTAAAGAATGAAATGCAAACTGCAGTCATAAAAAATTTATGACCAGAGGTATCTAATCGTAAGAAGATTGCCTAAATTTATCCTTCTGATGCATCAGTTCCAGCAGTAACAGGTCAAATTGGGAATCTGTGATAGTTACGAGAAGCAGCCAATATATAATGGACTAAACCAATAAACATGGACAAAGGCAATGAAGTATTTAGGTTACTGTAATTAGCTACCAAATTATGATCTTTTAAGAAAATGCTAAACTATTGGAAGCACTCCACATAACATCTTTAGGAAACAAGGTTATGTACAATAATATTGGACTGGCAACATGACAGGATAAGGACTGCAGAAAGCAACATCAATATCAGAGGCTCATAGGATAATTAGACGTCATGTTTTATATTTTGTGCATTAAAGGTACACTCACCTGGTGATATTAAGATGGATTGAACTGTGGATATCTATATGATGAATTGTTCAGCATTGAGAGAAAACCTTTCATGTTATGCCCTTGAATTTCACAAGTATTAGGAAAATCCACTCTGCTATCTTCTTCTTCCAGCAACTTGAGCTTGTGATCTGAACTATCACAAGGAAGCATATCATAGTTTGCTAGTTATCCAATCAGTCTCAAAAACCACAGGATTTAATCCATTATGATTGAGCTTTTTTCATCAATCTGGTCTAGATTTCACCCTTTCAATCCTGAACTTCCCAGGCTAAGATCCAGAGTATGATCAGTGTTATTAGCTGCATTAGCCCAGAAACTGACACATTCACTCATAAGAACGAGATTGAAGCATACAGGTCTTAGTGAATGTACACAGTTACAATTAAGCTCATATGCATAAACGCTCAAATCTAAATTGGTCCCTGCATCTTTTCCATTACATTTGATTGCTGCTTTATCATAAGCTCTGAAAATGTCACATGAGATACTTCAGAAAACTCAGTGTTAGCAAATTTATAATTGATACAGGAGAGTAAATATAACTACCTTGCAGCTTCGATTACAGTGTTGAAAAGGCCCTAATAACACACCTAGCATTACATAGATTACAGTGTTGAAAAGGCCCTAATAACACACCTAGCATTACATAGGTTGAAGTAAATTTAGACAGAAATGAATAACAAGAATTAAGGTGAATTTATTTGAAATTAATGAACATTATTCTTCCCAAAATATGGGCCCATTCCATTACTGAACGACAGCAAATTTCTCTAGATAGTTTTGTATTTGAGAACCTGATTTATATTTGCTTAGTTCACCGAGTCATGTTTATTCTTCTGGCATATCAGTCCGTGTAGTCTTCGATAATAATGATAAAAGGGGCGTCTTACTCAGGAAAAGCTTTCATTGATTGTTAAATTGCAAAATAAGGAGACGCTGCAGACAAGAAACAATATGCAATGGATATGACATAAAAAATTAATATGCACGCAAGAGAGGGTACAAAAACTTTTCCTGCAATGAAATTTGGGTAAAATGAAAAAAATAAGTTCAACAAATCAATCCTGGAATTGGTGCTGCAACTTGGAGCGGTTGTCACTTACCAGAGTCTTTGGAGAATGAGGAGGGAAACTAAAACATATTGGCGGCTAATATCTGCAAGATGTCCAAAATTTATTGGTCCAAGTTGAGTTATAATTGATTGTCATTTTAACTTCATTTCTTGCATATAATACTCCCACACACCACACCCTTCTCAGTAAATATGAAAACTAGTTCCTTTATGCCACATCTTGCTTCATCTTCCGGCTGATTTGAAGTAATAAACTCACATGAACCAACAATTAGAGGCTTATGTTGAACAAAAATCGAAGAATTTAAATAGCTTAAGTTGCTTAATTTGCATGCACAATTCTGGAAATTTGTTTTAAGCTCTGCAAACTATAACTAAAAACATACTGGATAATGAAGTGCTTACCTTTAGCCTGAACAAAGCTAAGAATGACCAAATGCTGCAGAGCTACGACTGGAGACGTTTTTGTAACCAATGCAGCAATCTCAATCCTGGAGAAAAGATATAGTGGAGAATGAAAAATAAATATATTCCACATCAATTGATTATTTGACAAACCCAAACATGAAAAAGAAATAGATTGCTCGGGGAATATGACATACCACAGCCAGAAAGGCAACGGAAGCATCGCAGCATAAGAGTAGCATCTGAACAAGCAACCACTATAAAACAAACATTTAACCTGGTATTCAAGGAAAGGAGGGTGATTAACTTTTGCAGATAAATCCATTACACAATACAACACATTTAGCATAGCTGACATATATGCACCTAGATAGCAAATAGACATCTCATTACGTGTCATCAGCATGTTTCACAAGAAATGCAGTAACTTCCATTTATCTCCAGTCATTGTCTTGCCAATCCATAAGGTCTGAATGGGATTCAGTTTCTTCTCTGAGGCAGGGAAATTTCATGGTTGAACAATTTCCATTTTCAGTAGCTTCCAGTTCTCCTTTCCCTTTCGAATGAACACTAGGAAGCTTAGGTGGCATATTAGCTGAGACTTGAGAGCCACTGGAAGTACATCAATGTACTAAGACTAGATATGTGTTCAAATATGTATTTGAACCATTTTGATGCAAACTTTTATTTTGTGTGCTTATATATTTTAGAATCCAAGACGTCAAAACTTGCTTGGGCTGAACAGAGATAAGTAATAAATCCTCACTTTTTTTTGTTGACGAAATCATGGTTAGACCTGCAACTTTGACATGCAATAAGTCTGTGTGTCTTCGATGCAAAGTATGTAGACCTGACAGCAGGTTCGGCCATGTGCTCCCTACCTACCCATGTCAAAGCCTCAGTAGCTGCATCCAGAATCCAGAGAAAGCAAAACTTCTTCATTTGGGGCACAATCAAATAAGTAATCGCCCTTTAAGGGTACTAAGAACATATTTAAAGCTTAAGAATGATTTAACCATGACTGTTGGACAATCTGTGGTCAAGATATACCTGGTTCAATGTTAAGCTTATAGTTCAGTTATATATGCATGTTTTATGTTGCTCATGTATAAGAAGTAACGATTAAACCACTTCCTTGAAAATTATACTAAGAACAGTTAAGAGGATTCACTACTCAATATTGTTCACTTGCTGTACCGGTGCCACTTATTGTTGCAGCGGAGGGGCTTCACAGACACAAAAGATGTCTATACAAGAGTGGACAAATAAAACAGCACACCAGGATTTAACGTGGTTCGGTCAGTATGACCTACGTCCACGGGCGAGAACAACAGAGAATTTTACTAATCACCAACGAGAAGATTACAAATAGGAGATCACTCTCTTGCCAGAGACTCACACAAAGAAAGAGACAAATTCTTTCTATCTCACTCTCTTCTCTCTAAAACTCTTCTTCTCTCTCTTTCTTTTCTTTCTCCAACTGATGCTCACTGCCTCGATGCTCTAAACCACCTCCTCTCACCCCCCTTTTATAAGTTACAAAAATAATAAAATATTCATGAATGGGTAGGTGAGGCATTGACAAATGAGCTGCTAACTTTGGAAAAAACAATCCCAAAGTAGGTAGATGAAGACCTTTGTTTTTTAAAGTCACGTTTCTCACAAATCTCCACCTTGACTTTGAAAATGAAGGTCTTCTCTTTACTCTTGCTGTCTCGCCAGAAGCCCCTTACGGGCTTAACCTTCGCTTTGTCGAACTCCAAGCAATTCGAGACAATGCTCGAACTTGCGCGAAGGTACGAGCTTCATCATCATATCTGCTGGATTATCTGCAGTACCAATCTTCTCAATCCTGATGACTTTAATTTCTCTGATAAAATGATACTTGACATCTATATGTTTGGTTCTTTCATGATACATCTGATGTTTCGTCAAATGTATAGCACTCTGGCTGTCACAAAATATCGTAGTAATACCTTGGTGTAAGCCGAGATCTTCAACCAAACCTCTCAACCAAATAGCTTCTTTCACTGCTTCTGTCACTGCCATATACTCTGCCTCTGTAGTAGACAAAGCAACTGTCGACTGTAGAGTCGCCTTCCAACTAATGGCACTACCTGAAAGAGTGAATATATAACCTGTCAGGGATCGTCTCTTATCCAAATCGCCCGCATAATCTGAATCAGAATAGCCAAGTATTCTGCAATCTGAGTCTGTGTTCCTGCCAAAATACAAACCAATATTAGCAGATCCTCTCAAATATCTAAGTATCCATTTCACAGCCTGCCAATGGATCTTTCCAGGCCTATCCATGTACCGACTCACAACACTGACTGCATGTGAAATATCTGAACGGGTGCAAACCATTGCATACATAATGCTTCCAACTGCACTCGCATAAGGAACACGAGACATGTACTGCTCCTCCTCCTCAGTCTGAGGTGACAAATCTGCTGAAAGACGAAAATGAGCGGCAAGCGGAGTCTTCACAGGCTTGGCATCAAGCATGCCAAATCTCTCCAACACCTTCTTGATGTATTTCTCTTGAGATAGAAATAAACTCCCTTCTCGTCTGTTCCTGTGGATCTCCATCCCCAAAATCTTCTTTGCTGCTTCCAAGTCCTTCATCTCAAACTCATGTTTGAGTTGATATTTTAACTCGTTAATTTCTGACATATCTTTAGCTGCAATCAACATGTCATCAACATACAAAAGCAAATATACAAAAGAACCATCATTGAGCTTTTTATGATAAACACAACTATCATATTTACTCCTAGAGTAACCATGCTCAAACATGAAAGTATCAAATCTCAAATACCACTGCCTTGGAGACTGCTTCAACCCATAAAGAGATTTCTTCAACCTGCACACATGATCTTCTTTACCTTCAACAATGAATCCCTCTGGCTGATGTATAAAGATCTGCTCCTCAAGCTCGCCATGTAGAAAAGCTGTTTTCACATCAAGTTGCTCAAGCTCCAAATTAAAATAAGCAACCATGGCAAGAAACACGCGGATTGAGGTGTGTTTTACAACTGGAGAGAATACTTCATTGAAGTCCACACCTTCGGTCTGACTGTAGCCTTTAGCTACCAAGTGTGCCTTATACCTTACAGAATCTGTATCCGGAGCTCCTTCTTTCTTCTTGAATACCCATTTACAGCCAACGATCTTCTGTCCCCTTGGTGGCTTCACTAACTCCCATGTCTGGTTCTTGTGAAGAGACTCCATCTCTTCAGTCATCGCAACAGTCCAATTTGCAGCCTCATTGCCACTAATAGCCTCCTTGCATGTAGAAGGCTCTGGAACCTCAATCGATTCTGCTACACTCAAAGCATAAGCAAGCATGTCTGTGTAGCGTTGAGGCGGTCGGATCTGCCGTTTTGTTCTCCCGGTGGCAATATTATACTGTTGCTCTTGTGGTGTATCAGCATCTGAAGTTGAACCTTCCTCAGTAACAACTGGTTCAACATGAGCGCCCTCAAGCACTTTCTTTGAAGTTGAGCTCTCTAGCTCCACCTGCTTGCTAGACTCCTTTTCAGTACCTGTAGTGTCAATAACAAACTCCTTTCTCGGGTGAAGCATGGATTTTTCATCAAAAGTAACATCTCTACTAATAATAAACTTAGGTGACTTGGGATCAGAACACCACAATCTATATCCCTTCACCCCAGTAGCATATCCTAGAAAGATAGCTTTCTTTGCTCTAGGTTCAAGCTTACCATCATTAACATGAAAATAAGCAGAGCAACCAAATACTCTTAAATAAGAGTAATCAGCAGGGGAACCAGACCATACCTCTTCTGGAGTCTTGAAATCAATTGCTGTGGAAGGAGATCTGTTTACCAAATAGCAAGCTGTATTAACTGCCTCAGCCCAAAAGTCTTTTGACAAACCGGCATTAGAGAGCATGCACCGAGCTCTCTCCAAAAGTGTTCTGTTCATCCTTTCTGCAACTCCATTTTGCTGTGGTGTATGCCGAACTGTACGATGACGCACAATACCTTCATTCTTGCAGAACTGATCAAACTCTGTAGAACAAAACTCCATCCCACTGTCGGTTCTGAGGCGCTTCACTTTCTTTCCTGTTTGCTTCTCAATCATAACCTTCCATTGCTTAAAGGTTGCAAACACATCACTTTTATGCTTCAAAGGATACACCCAAACTTTTCTGGAATAATCATCAATTAATGTTAGCAGAAAACGAGCTCCACCTTTCGATGGAACCTGAGAGGGACCCCAAACATCTGAATGGATATAATCTAAAGTACCCTTGGTTCTATGGACACCGGTACTAAAGGATACTCTATGGTGTTTACCAAAAACACAATGCTCACAAAAGTCTAGCTTACTAATTTTCTGACCACAAAGCAGACCTTGTTTGCTCAATATATCCAATCCTCTCTCACTCATATGCTCTAACCGTATATGCCACAAATGTGTAGTGTCTGAATCTGAATCCTCTGAGGATGACACTGCTGCAGCACCTGTCACTGTACTGCCTTCAAGGATATAGAGGGTATTTACCTTCTTTCCTTTCATCACAACAAGAGAGCCTTTACTTACTCTCAAAACTCCACCTTCAGCCGAAAACTTAAAACCATTTGAGTCAAGGGTGCCTAAAGAAATGAGGTTCTTCTTTAACTCTGGAATATGACGGACATTGCTCAATGTTCTAACAATACCATCATGGGTTCTAATCTTAATTGATCCGATACCAACAGTCTTACAAGGCATGTTATTTCCCAACAAGACATTCCCACCATCTTGTGAATGAGTATTAACACTAACTGAAAGAACGTCATGTGAACTAGAAGACTCTTCAGTTACAGTGGCAACTGAAGGTTTTACATCCCCAGACTTCGACTGTTTGAGCGCTGGACAATTAGGTTTTATATGCCCATATTTGTGACAGTAATAACATTCAACATTTTTTCTTGGCCTGGACTTTGATCTAGACATGTTTCTAGATTTGCCTCTACCACTAACACCCTTTTCAGGACGACCACGAGCGAACAAGCCTTCAGCTTGATCCTCTCCTCCTACGACAGATACTTTCTGCCTTAACTCTTTTGAATGTAAGGCTGACTTGACATCTTCCAAAGAAAGTGTATCTCTACCGTACAACATGCTATTGACAAAATTTTCATAGGAATGAGGTAATGAACATAACAAGATGAGTGCTTGATCTTCTTCATCAATTTTAACATCAATATTCTTTAAATCCATAAGAATAGTGTTAAGTTCATCTAAGTGGTCTTTAATTCGCATACCTTCCTTCATGCGAAGGGTGAAGAGGCGTTGCTTCAAGTAAAGCTTGTTCGTCAGAGATTTCGTCATGTACAAGCTCTCCAACTTGAGCCACAAACCGGCGGCGGTATCTTCATCGGCAACCTCCCGCAGGACCTCATCGGCCAAACAGAGCTGTATGGCACTATGCGCCTTCATCTCCAGCTCTTCTTTCTCGTCATCGGGCATAGATTCCGGCAACTTATCCTTTCCGGACAAGACCTTGAACAATCCTTGTTGTACTAGGAGAGCCCTCATTTTTACTCTCCACAAACTGAAGCTGTTTTTCCCATCGAATTTCTCCACTTTGTACTTTGCAGAAGACATCTTGAAGCCAACTGGAACAGTAACTGTATTTATGAACAGTACCGTATTTGTGAACAGTAACCGTACGTATGAATAGTGTCCGTACGTATGAATAGTAATAGTACTTTTGAATAGTACCGTACGCGTGAATAGTACTCAGTGCCTTTAAAGAGTAAATGATAATCTAACTTATTTTCTGATGTGGAGGATCCACTTTTAGTGGCAGCCACAGAGCATACGATAAGCAGATACACGTACTCTAAGCAGGCTCTGATACCAGTTTGTTGCAGCGGAGGGGCTTCACAGACACAAAAGATGTCTATACAAGAATGGACAAATAAAACAGCACACCAGGATTTAACGTGGTTCGGTCAGTATGACCTACGTCCACGGGCGAGAACAACAGAGAATTTCACTAATCACCAACGAGAAGATTACAAATAGGAGATCACTCTCTTGCCAGAGACTCACACAAAGAAAGAGACAAATTCTTTCTATCTCACTCTCTTCTCTCTAAAACTCTTCTTCTCTCTCTTTCTTTTCTTTCTCCAACTGATGCTCACTGCCTCGATGCTCTAAACCACCTCCTCTCACCCCCCTTTTATAAGTTACAAAAATAATAAAATATTCATGAATGGGTAGGTGAGGCATTGACAAATGAGCTGCTAACTTTGGAAAAAACAATCCCAAAGTAGGTAGATGAAGACCTTTGTTTTTTAAAGTCACGTTTCTCACACTTATAATGTTATTAAACGCTCAGTTAAAGAATTGAAAAGGGAAGTAAAGCTAACCACACATATATATAGTAACCAGACATGAAAAACTAATTCATTCTCTCAAAAAACTTATGAAGCATTCTATACTTGTAGTTTCCATCCTGCACAACAGTGACAAATTATATGTGATGCAACTTTCCTAAAAGAGAAGGGATGAAGAAGCGACAGTTACATACAATGCAAAACAGTGCCTGTGTTCAGAAACATCTCCAAGATAAGAACAGTTCTGGTGCTCAACTCTTGCACTTGCTTCATTCCAGTAAACACAAAAGAGAGAGAATAGGTGGTGTGCTGCAAATGCATCCATTGCCACCAGTCTAAAAAAGAGAGATAAAATAAGTGGTGTGTTGCAGGACTTATATGGTGTTAAATTAAACATACAGTCATTACCTAGCGCATTCATAAAGATTCAATGTAGTAATCAGAACACTGGTATTACAAGAAATCCCATGGGCCCCTTTAAATTGACTGAATAAAGGAAAATTCTCCTCTATCTTACTTGACTTATCAACTTTAAGACCATCTGACAAAGCACACATGCTAAGATTACCCTGCTGATCACCACATATGAGGACCCGCAAGAAAATAATTTTCAGTCTGTAGAGTAGTTTTCAACAATTTCCAACAAGAGAACCAATATAAGCAGCATAATATTAAGCCGATTTTACATGTGAATAAGGAGTGCTCTCTATCAATGGACAACAAACTTTTTGACATAGAAACATATATTATTCAATTTTTAGCTTACAGATAGGTTAGTTAGCATTATAGAAGTAGCCTCTAGAAGTAGAAGACCAAACTAATTTTGCATTATAGTTGTCGTGGTTGTATTATTCTAGGAAAAATGAATTTAAATACGAGAGATAATTGATTTTAAATAAAAGCAGATATCAACAAACACTTGTAAAAGTAAAGGAATTTTGTTTTCATTTTAGGTATTGTAGGAGCCAAGACGTCAAAACCTGCTTTGGCCAAACAAAGATAACTAATATTCACCCCCATGCTCCCCAAGAAGTTTGGACTCTAGAGTAAGCCTAAGAGACCTTGTCTAGAAAATATTAAGGATATGATGACACTTAACTTAGGATGAACTGAATGGATGAACGTGATTCATGAAAACGATCCCAATAAATTGGGATAAAAGGCTTTGTTGTTGATTCTCTGGTGGATGATATTTAATATCTACAGGACTGACCATGGAATCAATTGATTGAAAGTAGGAAAGAAATGCGAAGAGTACCAAGGAACAGTCACCTGCCATACTTTATTGCATCAAATGCTTCTGGCTCTCGAACACTAACTACATGATGAGAATGATCAGTCAGCTTTCAATATTTGGCCATTACTACTATTGCCAGCTTCTGTATGGTTAAGTAAACTCTGATAGTCTCCTGAGAGGATTGATTTTTCAAGGATTTCCACCATCCATCTCCCTGGCTTACTCTACCTGTTTGTGGACGTCTTTGACAGTACATAAGCATTTCTTGTCTGAACTCCAGAGTTCTTTGCATAAAACCATCAATGGCTGTGGCACTACCCAAAGTAATACTTCCATCGCTAGAACCATGAATGATGATATATGAATTTCCTGATCTAACAGTATCTGCAAGTGCCAAAACACACACGATTACAACAAGAATGATGATATATGAATTTCCTGATCTAACAGTATCTGCAAGTGCCAAAACACACACGATTACAACAAAATGGCAACTACAAAATGTGCAGTTCACTAGCTCAAGTAAATTATGAAAAGTTAATTAGGATGCGTGCTGTTTTAGAAATGACTCTAACCAGTCAATGCTAAAGAAAAAAAAAGAAGTCATCTTTATTATAGTTCCAAGGAGCTTCAGCAGAAAAATACTAAATGTCCAAGTGAAAGAAGTCATCTTTATTATAGTTCCAAGGAGCTTCAGCAGAAAAATACTAAATGTCCAAGTGAATCATAGAATGGGAGCACAAACAACAAGAAGGATGTCCTGAGCTTCAGCAGAAAAATACTAAATGTCCAAGTGAATCATAGAATGGGAGCACAAACAACAAGAAGGATGTACTGAAAATATCTAAAAAAATATATCGCTCCTTTTTCCCCTTATTTCAAAATTTATCAAGTTAGAAACTCTAACCAAGAGAATGAAAATCGGGAGAAGTTGCAGATAAGAAAAAGGTTAGAAGGGATAGGGCAAGAAAGCAAACTATGGAAGAAAGGCTGCTGAAACTTCTCATGCCAATGAAATTGAGGAGGGAACCAAAGCACATGACAGTTAGTATTCTAAAAAGGACCCAAATATATTGATCCAAGCTAAATTATAACTGATTGTCATTTTTTAGTTCACTCTTGCATATATTACCCCCACCCACCCACTCCTCTCAATAAATATGTAACCAAGTTTCTTTATATCTCATCTTGCTTCAACTCTCAGCTGATTTAAAGCTCGTATGAATCAACAATTAGAGGTTTTCATTGAACAAAAATAGAATTATTTAAACAGCTTAAGTTGTTTGATTTGTGTGCACAATTCTGATAAATTGTTCTGAGCTCTGTAAATTATTACACAAAACATGCTGGACAATGAAGTGCTTACTTTCATCCTGAACAAAGCTAGGAATGACCAAATGCTGCAATGCTAGAATTCGAGATGTATGTGAAACCAATGTAAAAAAGTAAACCCTAGAAAAAATATCATGTAGGATGAAAAATAAATATATGTTACAGCAACTGATTATCCGACAACATGTGATAGGAAAATGAAATAGATCACTTGGGGATTCCATACCACAGCCGGTAAGGCAATAGAAAAGCCCACGGTATCAGAGTAGCATTGCGACAAGCAACCACAACAAAACAAACATTTAACCTGGTATTTGAGGAAAGATGACAGATATTTCGTAGATAAATCAATGATACAGTACAACTTATTTAACATGGCTGACATATATGCACCTAGATAACAAATAGGCATCTCCTTTCCTGCTATCAGCGTGTTTCACAAGAAATGTGGCAACTGCCACATAACTCCAGTCATTGTCTTGCCAATCCATAAGCTCTGTTTTGGGCCTCAGTTTCTTGATTTTAGTTAAATCTGAGTCAGGCTGGGAAACTTTTCATTGTTGAACAGTTTCCTCTCTCAGAAGCTTCCAGTTTCCTTTTCACTTTCTGATGAGCACTGCAAACTTGGGTGGCATGTGAATTGAGAGCCACTGGAAATACATTGACAAAATAGGACTACGTACATGTACAGAATCTATATTTGAACCATCATGGTGCAGATTTTCAATTTCTGAGCTCCTAATATTGTAGAAGCCAAGACAACAAAACTTGCTTGGCCACAACAGAGATAAGTAATAGTGGCTCATTTTTTTGTCAGCTACACCTTGATTAGAGCTGTAAAGTTGACTCACAGCATTTATGTGCGTCTTCAATATAAAGTATATAAACCTCACGGCAGATCCAAAGACATGCTCCCCAAGCAATTTGGATTTGCACCACCTTCCGAGGACAAAGCCTCTGTAGAGAACACTCACTTAAGTAATAGCTTATTAGGGGTACTAAAAAGAATGAAAGAGGATGATTTAAGCACAACTGGTGGACAAACCGTGCTCAAGATAAACATGGCTCAATGTTAAAGCTTATACTTGAGTTACTAGTGTAAACTTAATGCACAATAGACTACGAAAAGCATCATGTTCTATGATAATCCACCTATGCATTCTCAAACAAAGATCAACCAGTTAAATGCAATATTTTGTAATCAATGTACACAATAAAATCCAGAAAATGGAAAACAATAAATACAATGGTGATACTGACCCAACCAGCAGCAATATCCTACAAATTCGATAGTTTGGCTACTTGATCTGCATCTGCATATTAAGGGTTACATCATCCTTGAAGGAAAAATATTTTGAACCATATTACAGATAACTAAACTTTCAAAAGAAATCCATAAAATCCTTTGAAGGCGGGTCAGTCACTCACTCACCATGACTATTTTGAAATGCCCATGTCCATCTAGTTATCCTACCAGTATACAGTCTCTACAAGTCTATACACTGTACATGGCAACACAAACTTGGCCAACAACAGTAAAACTTGAATGTAAAGCTAAATGGCTAGAATATGAATGTCAGATTTAAGAATATTTAGTTTGCATGTCACCATAACTCGCAAGAGTTGAAGAATATGATACCCGCAAATGGTGTCCGGAAAACAATCTTGCTCGCTACTTTTATAAAGAGAACGATGCTTTAAGTAGAATGAGCAAAAATATCAAGTTTCAGCTTAACCAACTGATAAATGACTACTAGAGATTTGAGAAAGTGACCTTGTAATCGCACAGTTCCATCATCACACCCTGGTGCCAGCCATCAGTAACAATCTTTCATAGGAATGGATTGCATTCCAAATGTAATGGAGTATACAAAATGTGCTTCTCTCCATGTTGTTGTATGTGTAAACCCTTAGGAATTAGCTCGCTCTCCTTCACTGATAGCCACTGACTACGGATATGATTGTCAACCAAGAAGGAAAAATAAATATCACTGTCAGTTCACATCATTGTCCTAAGTCCTTAGGTACATACAAAAATTATGATTTATCATATGCTAAATAAAAGATTATATGCTTAGGGCTTTGATTGAGACACCCATCACATGATCTTCCTACCGATCCACAACCTTGAAGTTTCTCAAAAGCATGTCTTTTCAGCAGTATTTTGGTGACCATTCTGTCAACTTTACTAAAAATCAAGAATATGAAGTTGAAGCAACAGCATTCTCAAGTAACTGAATAGTGTCTCCATTTTTGACTCGAGAATTTAGTAGAGAATTTAATAAACTGCCAATTGCTTACAAACTACAGAAAATGTGAAGTATGAGGAATTCATGACTAAGGAGATTTATAATCACCATCGTTGAGCGGTTTGACCATAAGCTCACGGGCTGAACCCATAAATATATTATATTGCCTATGTTCACCCTATGACCACTACCCACCCATGTTACCCACACACCAATACAATTTAGGAGACTATGTGCAGATATATTTCTCTATAGTTTCTGTCAAGGTTTTCTAGCACTAAACTATTTAATATTTGAAAATGAAAAAACAGGTACAAAAACATACAGACAATCAACCAATTAAAGTACATGTCGCATGGAAATTAGGAATGGATAAACCTTGGACAATGTAAGGCACTAGCAGACAGTCCAGACAAAAACCCTTGGGCAATGAAATTTTCTTTAAAGAGATGCGAGGGATGAAAAAGTAACAGTTACAGACCTTTAGATACGCAAAACATTTCTGACTTTCGGGACCATTTCCAAGATAATAAGAGTTTGGATGCCACCATCCTCCACCAGAAACTTGTACCACCTGCTCAAATGTGCACAAGATGATTCAGTTGCATAAGCAAGATGAACAAGGTATTGCTAAAAGTTCCACATGGTAATGCATAGCAGATAAAGTAGGTTCCATATGATAAATCTGCAGACATATACCCTACTGCATGATATCCCTGATTCAACTTTTTCTGAGATGCAAACTCCACTCAGAGATACTGAATTGTGCTCAACTCTTTCACTTTGCTTCATTCCAATAAATTCCACATGCTGCACATTTTTGCTACACCTGAAATAACAAATGCATCCAGCTCCACCTGTCCATAAGAGAGAGAGAGAGAGAAGAGAGAAGAGAGAGAGAGAGAGAGAGAGAGAGAGAAGGAAAAGGTGGTGTATTGCGGGTTAGATTAAAGATTCAGGCAGCCATTATCGTGCGCACTTCAAATTCATATAAATTTGATTTAGTAATGGAAACACAGGTAACAGAAGAAATCCCTTGGTCCCTTTTAAATTGACTGAGTAAAGATACTTCTTGATCCCTTGGTCCACTTTAAATTGACTGAGCAAAGGAACCTTCTTGTCTATCTTACCCGAGTCATCAACTATAAGACCATCTGACAAGGGATAAACACTAAAATTACCCCGCAAATCACCACATATCAGGACCCACAAGAGTATAATTTTCAGTCTACAGAGTAGTTTTCTACCATTTCCAACAAGACAACCAAAACAGCAGCTTAAGATTAAGACAGTGGATTTTTTACGTGGGAATGATGAATGCTCTGTATCAATGAACATAAACATTTTAACATAAGAAACATATATTATTTAGTCTTTAGCTTACAAATAGATTAATTGCCAATATTTCTAGTGATGTAGCAATTATAAAAATAAGCTTCATCAAACCATGTGTTACATGGGTACGGGTACAGTTACGGGTACCGGTATAGTGTGGGTGCAGGTGTGGGTACTGAACATGACTTGGTATACATTGAAATTTAATAAATGAGATCAGTATTAATCTATTCAATTGAAGGTGCAATTTGAGTAGAAATCAGTGTACTCACAGGCACTCGATCATTGATACTTTTGCAAGGATATCTTTCGAATCATAAAAATCTCTCGTCTGAAAAATCAATGACAAAAAATAAATAACCCAAACAGAATGGAACTAAATGAAATTTAATGAAGAGGAGCAAACCGAAGGATGAAGGAGAATTCTTCTTTGAATAATCCCAGAGCTGTAATTGCACTCGATAATGGAAACTTCGCAAGGATTCCTTTCTACTTCTCAAATCAGTCCTCTAGAAAATCAACAACAAACAGTAAACAACTGTTACGAATTGGAACTAAGTGAGATGTAAGAAGAGGAGGCAAACCAAAAGTGAATGATATTTTCTTCTTCTTCTTCTTCTTCTTCGAATGCAACATTCAGCCTGTGCATAATTGCCCTCGATAAGGATACTTTGTAAGGACATCATTCTACTCGTCAAAGCTCACCTCTACAAAATCAACAGCAAACAGTAAATCCACGAAACGGGACTTTCGGTATTTATATACTCAATAGTATTAAGAAATCCATGAAACACTAGATAAACCGGTTAACAAAGTTGAGTAGGTCCAGTTTCATACAGTGGCCGAGGCTTCACCTGAAAATCAAAATAAATTTCGAAACATAGACTTGAAGGCGCCAAGTTTCCATCTTTCTAGGGTTTTGTTGAAGATGACGCAGTTCGAAGGGAAACTCGCCGCGGCCGTTCATGATGCTGATCAGAAGTAAAAGAGAAACCCTAGCTCCAAAATTGTAAAAACAAACCAAAAAGAAAAAAGTTGAAGAAACGGAGAGAAGCTGTAGAAGGGGAGAAGGTACCTGTTTCCTCCAGCACAAACCCTAGATCATCAGAAGCCTTCGCAAGCCCTAGATCATCAGAAGCCCCAAAATTGAAACCCTGAGTTGAGATTCGAAAGAGAGAGGGCGGGACCAAGACTCTATTTATAGACGCGGTTGAACGTTGCGTTCATCCTCAGCTACGCGTCAAAAATCAAAATGGGGAAGATAACACGGTGATTTTATCTACGCGGCATGTATACGAGTAAATAAAATATATACGCGTATATATGCGTAAATCATACGCGCATATATCCGCGTACATGAAACGCGTATATACGCATAAACAATGTTTTTGGATTACGTGCCTAATTCAGCACGATTGGGCTGGTTAAAAAGCACACTAAGATGTTATTCTCGCAGAACTTTGGGTATCAGGAACGAGCTTAGAAATAAAAGAAAATACCTGGAACAATAAAATTATTATCTTTTTTTTTTTTGCTTGCCGTGATAAAATCATCAATTTTAAGGTGTTGCAGCTCCACTAGTTTTTCTGCTCACGTAATGCTCGTGGTCATGGTTAAGTATCAAAATTATTTATTTTTAATATATTTTCTCACTATAAAATAAGTCAGATTCTTTTTAAGTTGAAATCTATAAACATGGATTATTACACTTGTCATAAATTTTATTAACATATATTTTAAAATATTTATGAAATAAATTTGTGTGTAAAGCTGGGATCAATATACTTTTTATATGCTTGCATACACAACATTATTTTTTAAAATTTGTATATACCAAAATTTATCTAACATATTTGTTTATTGCATCAAAACATGGACTCCAACTTGTTTATCTTAGTCATTAAACGTAGCGTTAAGTTTTAAAAAAAACAATAATATATTGTTGATGTGTTAATAAAAATATAATCAAATATGTAATATTAAGATGGTTTGTATGAGCTCAACACAAAGCACATACTTTTCACAAGACCGCAAGACATATTAATTATTGATATACTTCAAATAAAAAATAAATACTAAAGATTAATGGTGACTCCAGTATAATTTTATATGACAAAATCATTCACACGAGCTATTAAAATTTTATCATGAAAATCTCTTCTAAAGATTCCTAATTTTTCTCAAAAAAGTAAGTTTTATTATAAAATATTTAAAAAATATTATCATTTATTTCTTCTTTATTCATATTTAATTGAGCCAAAATCCTTCTCCGCCTTTATCTTTTTCCTAGCAATTCTATAGTAGTGTCTTCATCATCTACATCAATTGTGATATCAGATTGATATATAATAAAGAGCAAAAGACAATACAAGAGTTTAGAAATATATTAGGATATACTTGGATCAATCAAATTATACTATTACTCATAATTGATATGCATCAGAGACAAAATGTGCTGAGTATCTTAAATTATAAAACAGACTGTATGAACCCTCTAACATAACTTTTTAATGCAAGCAACCCTTAAGATTAATTTTAAAAAGTTATTGGGGCCAGGAATAAACAACTAACAAGTTTGCAGGGGAAGTTATAAGAATGTAGTACATTCTTAAGAATTTTTAATCTTTACTTAATTTGTTTATAATAACAGAATCTCAATATTAACTAACTGCAAGGCCTGGTACATTATTATTTTTATTGGGCGATCAAGGTAGGCAGAGGACTTAGGTGAGTCCACATCGTAATGAATGTTATACAATTTAAGTACGAAGAAAAAGTGAGGGTTGATGAATGGTGTAATTGGTGAGGGGGGAACTCCAATATCTTAATTTGGGTATGTGGATATATATAGATGCAGGTAAAGAATGATGGTTTTGAAAATAGTGGGTGTGTAGGGGTAATTAATATATTTTTGTTTACGTGGTTTTCTTCGTTCATTTTCAAGAAAATTCCTAACTTTATGATCGAGTGATCACAATTTTTTTAATAAAAAGATAGAGCGCAATAATTTTAATTTGTATCAATAGCACCTTAACTGTTGGCCTTCTTGTTTTGATGATGATTTACAAACAATTTACCACTAATGTTGTTTGTCTAGTATTTGTATTTTCCTATGTATTGTAGACAAACAACGTTGTTGGAGGATGGATGGATTGCGCCATAACGACGATATCAAATGGAGGTTGGCGGAATTGTGGAGTGAAGCAACGTACAATTCAAGTTCAAGATCCAAGTTTAGCTTCACCCGCAACGTGTACCAAGTTGAGCTCAATGAAGATCAAGATCAAGCTTGGGTAATTTAGTTTAGATTTTATATTATGTGTGTTAGTACTTTAAGCTCAATCATATACACACATACACGTTTTGGTTTTTGTATATATATAGTTATATATATACATATATGTTATTGGTTTAATAATTTTCGAGTTTATATATGAAACAAATGAATAGAATTGGAAAATACTATTTTGTTTCATGTTTATATGCCTATATATGATTTCATCTTTAACAAGCTTATATTTAGTGAAATCATATTTAGTGTTTTGAATATATTGCATAGAATATGCAATTTCATGAAAATATTGTATTTCTAGGTTATAGACTTCATAACAACATGTTATATCTTTTATCAAGTCTATACAATCATTTCATAAGGTTTCAAAATGTTGTTTAAGTCAAAATATCAAAATATCAATTTTCAGGTTTTCATGTTTTTGAACATATTTACAAAATGATGATTTTTTCATTTGGGAGGTCCTTTCTGATAACATGTTTATTATCATGTATACAATCATTCCCCAAAGTTTTACATTTTTTGGAATTTATTTGATATTTTTAAACAGCGTTTTAAAACCAGATATACAGTTTTTTGAGTATCAGTATTCGGTCGACCGCACCGGTCGACCGAACCTGAGGTCAAAAGTTCACTGGGCGACAGAAGCCTGTCGGTCGACCGGTCCGGTCGACCGATGAAAATTTTCGGTCGACCGACGAATTTTCCGGTCGACCGACGAGTATTCTCTCAGCTTCCAACGGCTAGTTTTTTGACCGTTGCATTGGGGCTGTTGGCTAAGGCCTGCTTGGTTTCTCGTTTTCGACCTGGATAATGGTCGACCGAATTTTCCGTCGGTCGACCGAACTTTTCCATCGGTCGACCGACAGAATTTCCGGTCGACCGACGATGGCTTTTTCTGTTTCCAACGGCTAGTTTTTGTACCGTTGGCTGGGTCTTTTGGTCTTTTGTTTTGGGTGTTTTTTTTGCTGAGATTTCTAGTGGGTATATATACCCCATTGCTGATGTCTTTTCAAATTGATTTTCTTAGAGGGTATTAAATTACCCCTTTTGCTGATATCTTTTTGATGTAAGAAATGAAGTTGTTTAAATAAGGGTTTAAACAAGGCGTTTGAGTTTGTTCAGTTTTGGCGGTTTATACTAGTTAGCAAAGAGCGAATTGCATCAGCCAGTGAGCGATTTCCATCTTCAATTTCTCTCATCCGTCTATCTTTGTGTTTATAGAGAAGTTTCTTCTAACTCTTTTCCCGTAGCAATTATCATTATTGACCTTCATATATTAAATTATGCTAGTTTGCTATTGAGTTAGATTTGATTTTATGCTCATTGTACACACACACCCACTTTTTGAGGCTTATTGTATTTGCATACCATAGTATATTAGGGTGC